GCATGCTGCAGATTGGAGGTACGGACACTGAATACTTTATTTTGATAGTAGCTTCTGACAACGGCTTCCCTCGCGTTCGCATGGAATTAAAAATCTCCATGTTTTATTGTAGAACATACATAGTCTTTTTTTATTTATTTTTTTAAGGGGGGAAAATCATCGAATGACTGCTCCCGCCTGGGTGAGGCGGGAGGGAGTGTCAGACTCTTACTGACTAAAAACCACCCCGTTCCTTCTCCTGCACGTCGAGCCGGAGCCCCGGTTACCCGTTCGGTTCTCCGCGTTACCCCAGTCCCAAATGTCATCCCGAACCCTTTAACCATTTGGAAAGGATTGAGTAACAACCATACACACAATGTTTCGCATTTATAATACTAAGTAAGATGGGTATATGTCATATCGGTCAGCAAACGAGACGATGGTAAGCAATCGGCGCTGCGCATGGCATGACAACATCAGAGATTTTCACATTTTCTGTAATATTTAAGACACATAATTTACATAATTTGGGCATCCATTATTTATCAATCCTTTAAAAAGTTCCTATAAAAGTAAGTTTCTAATTCTTTTAAGGTGTATTTTATTAACAATTATCAGGGGTGCCTGTGTTAACTGTGAAACTAGTAACATAACATCACGCCTGTCTTCCCTGTGTAATGGCACATTACGGCACTTAATGCCACTGTACAATGTAACACCCAGTGAAACTAGTTTGCTAATAAAATGTAACATTTGCACTTGCAGGTATGCGCAATATAATCCACGCGTCGAACCCGATAGGTTCGCGAGTGACTGCGACAGTGCGTTGTATAGACTGCGACGTCCCGCGGTACTTGCCGCTCGACCCCAACGCCACCTACCGGGTGCTGACGCAGAACTACATCGGCGACGGTGGTGGTGGATACTCGGTACGTTATTATTTAATAATTATTTGTAAACATATTGTTTCATTTCTGTCTACAATATCTGTCTATTTCGCCATTCAGGGATAGGAGTAAGTAATATTATTGAGTTCTCACCTAAAAATGTGAAGTCTCCGACTATCGAAACTGTTACGAGCATAAACGAGAGCTTACCGAGCCTCTCTAAGACTACGCTCTCCGAAGAAAGTAGTGGCTATGGCCAGCAGATCAAGCTACTTCGAACTATCAATTTTAGTTATTGGATTTTCACCTTTATATTTATGTAATAAAGTTAAAGATGTAATAGAGAAATTTGACAGAAAAGGTCATGTTGACCAGCTGGCCACCGAACACCGTACCGTACGTTATAGATTAATCCTCGAGCGGTCATCGGCTCCATTGACTCCATTATCGACCTTATTTCCGATGTTTTGAGACTACTTTTGTGTATAGCTGCCAAGTACCAGTAGTTTCGACTATGCGTCGTTTGTCATTCAGTTACTTATAAAAGGAAACTTTAAATGTAGATTTCATTCGTCAGTTCATTCTTAACTGTAGAATAAAATTGACAATTGGCATTGGGTTTTTGTCGCTTATTATTTCATATTTTATTTTCCAGATGTTATCTGAGAACAGAAAGAACATAGAGATCTTTGAGATCGACTATATTATGCTGCGGGATTACATGAGGAGACAGGGCGTCGTTACCAAGGACCTGGACGGGAGGATACAGATCGTCTATTAATATGTGATACACCTTACTTATTTTTATAAATATATCTTTATTTTTTAAATAAAACATTCATTTACACGCATGTTTTTATTTATTAATGATAGAGTAGAAAAGATTTTACCATCCCCATTTTTTCCGAGGGTGAAGTAAGTGCTAACTGAAAGCTGAAATTATGGAATGAGATCGATTATTAAAGTCAGGGATTTGCGAGAAATCTGGTAACAACGCTCTCTGTTAAACCTGAACCTTTTATATCCAAATACTAAAAGGCTACTCAATTTTAAGTCGCGGTTAACAATAGTTCTGTCTTATTACTGTCTAAACATAAAGGCAGAAAGAAATCGCACGATATTTCAGTACCACTTTAAATTGAGTAACCAGTATTCGGGTGTTAGACTGCAATCTTAAGGGGGCGGTGACTCCCGCGGAGTTCGGGGCCCCGGACGGGTTTGCAGTCAAAGTGACTGCCACTGGAGCCCGTCTTCTGGAGGTCCCCGGCGCGACCAGCGGCCCATCGGCCGACGCCCTGGCCGAGAGGCTTAGGGCGTGCCTCGGTGCGGACGAGGCTCGCGTGTCCAGGCCCACCAAATGCCTGGATGTCAGGATTTTGGGCCTGGACGACTCCGTAACTGAGGAGGAGGTGGTGGCCGCTGTAGCCAGGACAGGAGGGTGCCCTGCTGACCAAGTCAAGGCAGGCACCATCCGTCCGGACAATTCGGGGCTATTGCAACTTACTACGAGAAAATAAAACATACGTGTCTAATATTTTTTCATTATCTATCTGACGGACTAATTAGATTTTTAATTTTGATACCCTGGAAACTACCCAATTATGTCGAGGCCCATTGTTTAGCAGCGGCTGTTGATGATGATAATAATTATAATGAACTATGAAGACCATCCTAATTGCTTCAAGCTAGCGGCAAACCCGCAGGCGGTAAGCTATAGTATAGTATACAAAATGAAATAAGACAACAAAGTAGTGTCCTAATGAGACTATTTTATTAACACTATAATCAATAAATTTGACAGTCATTCTTTATTTCATAAATATTTTACGAATATCCAACATATTAACGCGGAGGAGACATGTTTAAGTACAATATTTACAAAATTATTTCTTTTAAAATAACTTTAACAAAACCCAACGCTAATTACAGTTGCTTCAACAGATTTTGGTGTCTATTGCAGTCGAAATAAGGGGTAAAATCCCTGTAGAAAACCGACATAACAATCGAGTCTGCAATATTCATCTTTAAGTCAAAGTTATAAGGCTAAAAATCGGTTAAAAACTGTAAAATACGTTCGTTAAATGTTTAATGTTATTTTAAATACAGTATTTAATAATATATAGGTTGACATTTATAAACCACAATACACCATTTATTACACTGCTGTCCCTTTCGCACTCAATTTAAATGCGAATGTTAGAATGAGATAATGATATTAAAAGCTAGAATGAGATACAAAGCTGTTAAAGATATAAATTACTATTTATTTCTATCCTTTTCTTATGTATGTAAGGTGCAAGTTGTGCGAGAGAGACAGACTAGTAAAACTGCAGAAGTGTGGGACCGCAGACACAATGTGTTTTCTACTGTGTCTCATATATGGACAGACAAGAGATTAATGGTCACTTAACCTTGTTCTTAGCAAATTGTTTTCGTAACAAAATCGTTACTAAGGAATTGTTTAAGTATTCCCCAAAAATATCTAGGTACGGCAAATCTTATACTATTATATAAAGCGAAAGAGTTTATTTTTTGTTTGTTTGTTTGAACGCGCTGAACTCCGTAACTACAAGTCTGATTTGAATAATTCTGTGTTGGATAGCGTATTTATCGAGCATGTTTATAGGCTATAAAACATCACGCTACCACCAATAGGAGCTCAGCAGAGCGTGTGAAACCGCGCGGAAGTAGCTAATAATTTATTAAATGTCAACCTTGATCCCAAGCTTTGAAATGTGACCAATGCAAAAAATAGCTTTGATTGAGATATTACTCTCAATCCACTAATAAAAATAGGTCACAAATCAAATCTCTGGGATACATATATATTTATATATAATTTGAGTTTTTTTATATATTATGTTAGTATTACGTATCTATTACATTTTTATATACAATACTATGTACGTTAATACCTAACGCCTTAATTACACTTTTATTTTTAATAAAATATAGCGATTATATATAATATAAAGATTGGTAAAATTAACTATACTGTACAAGCTTTGGTGGCGAAGACAAGCCGAATGAATTCTGAGTTTTTTTTTAATCTGATTTTCTGGACATTTTGTTATTAATGGCTATGCTTATAGAGAAGTTATTTTGCGCATTTTTATTGCCATATATTGTTATTTATGTTTAATTTTAATAACAGAAAAAGAAAGGTCAATTGACAGTGAATGCAGTTTTTTTAGTGCACTATAATATCGCCTGCGTAGTGGGCTTAGTCTAGACTAACTGTAATCAAAATCGATCAGGAGTCTCAACTTTAATATTTTTACTTGGTCATTTAATTTTGTCTTTTTAAATTCTTATTCATGCAATAGTGGTATACCATCATACTTTGTCATGTTCGATATCCCTGTAAGATCCCGTTTATATAGAAAATAAGATTAATTTATAAAATAATTTCAAGCTGATGTAAAAGTAAATATTCCAAAATCCATAGATGTGTCGATGATAGTTACAAAAAAAAAAGAAAATTGTAAAATAAGGTGAAAGGCAGAAATAAAAAAAAAATCGGACGGAATTAAATTACAAAAGTATAAAAGAAGAAAATCTTAAAATGTTAAATAGGACACCAAGCATATCAAGCTACCCTAAAATGTCTAAATTCATCAATAAAAATCTACTTTCTTAAAACGCAATAAGATCGAAAATGTATTAAAGATGGGTAGCGAGATTTACTGGCGAAATCTATTTTTAAGAATTAGCTAATGAATGAAGCAATGAACGACCGTCTTAACGTGTACACAGGAACCAATCAGATTGAGAATTATCACGTGACGCTACTGCACGTCCAAAGACAGAGGTTTAAAATCACGAAGCATTGCGCAACATTATAACTAAAAATATGTCAAAATTCTTGTTCAACATTCAAGTGAGTAAAGCAAAATGAACCTTATTTCTTTTACATTAAACTTTATTTTTATTGGGCTTAAATATTTCTGGTTATTTGGTTAGACCAGAATATGTGGTAGCAATAAAATGGTGTAAAAAGTCAACACTATTTGGTCAACAAAGTTTAGGTGACTTTAAACATCACCAGCGCTACCTACGAATCGCAAAAACGAGGTTGGAACTTAATAGTGATATTTTATACATAGTGGCCTTTCGCACCCGAGTTTTGGTACCTCAGCATTGTCCAAATTCGATTTTCGGTATGTTTATAAATGGCAGCTCCACTTTGAAGGCATTTATGTCTCTGATGAAGTCTGCGTTGTTCTCAATGGTGTCTCCTATTGGTTCGCTTGCGTCCAAGTACGTGAGCTCGTAGTGCTTCGGGTGCAAATCTGGTGTGGTCGCATTGTCCTTGTTGGATTTGTGACCCATTATCTGTTGAAAAATTAAAGGTATGATGTTTTGGTATCGAAAACTCTATGATGCTGTGTAGGAACTGAGGGCCAAGCACGAATAACTATCGCATTCGTATCGTAACAGTATCGAGCGAGTTAAGCGTTCTGATTGGTTGGTTCACTTGAGCCGGCCAATCAGAGCGCCGAGCGCGCTCGGTACTATTACGTTACGAATGCGATAGTTATTGGTGCTTGGCACTCTGTACAAAGAGATCGAATCTTACTAATATTATATTTGCGACAGTTTGTAAGTTTGAGTTTGTGTACGTTTGTTACTCTAGCACATCAAAATGGCTGAAGAGATCGGGATGATAAGAATGTACGTAGATTTTGTTCTGGATTAACACATAACCTACTTTTTATCCCACCCACGGGAACGCGGACGAAGTCACTAGTAGAAGGTAGTAGCTGAATACATTTAGTTAGTGTAGTGCATGGCTAACTGGCTGAAGCGCGATGTTTTATGGATTTTTGAAGAAAATGGGTACTTTCCTTAGTCAAAAATAAATACTTTCGACTGTTCAATACAATAAAATATATTGAACAGTCGAATGGTTAAAAAAATAATCACTCTTTTATTTAAGAAGTAAATATGCTGTTTTACGCTTAAAAACCGTGACGACACAATACACAATCGCATACAAAGTTCATTGAAAACTGTCGTTTTTGACAGTTCGAAAAAAGTATTTAATTTGACTAGTTGGCAAGTTCCCAATTCTTTGTGTTATCCGCAAATTTTTCCGGGTTTGGGCGTAATATGTATGTGAATTTGTATGTTTATTAACAGAAACACACCTGTTCACTGGAGAAGATTCTAGAGAGATTCTCCCATGATTAATATTTGTTATCTTAACAATACAAAGAAAGTTCTTTAGTGCAAATGTTTGTTAAAGACTTCAAAATAGCAATTACCTGTACAGATAGCTTCCTGAATTTGGACTTGTTGCCTGTCGGGAAGTAGTCTTCGACCCAGGTCTTGATGTCGACTAGCTTGATCTTCTCAATGGCATCAGCCTGTCAAAACAGAATATTTAAATATCGAATCATGAAGTTTGAAGGGAGCGGTGACAATTTTGCTCTGTGTATGACCAAGAATCGATCTATTCTTTCGTAGAATAATGAGCTTAATGTTATGATAAGTCTACATATTTATTTACGTTAAATATAATGGTGACTTACCTCCAAGAATAGTCTGTGGAACATGTATTCCCTGCTGACAATCTCTCGCCAGTTCCTCTCAACCTGTAAATAATATTAGTATTATAAGTGGACCATGTCTTACCTGTAATGTCTGTCTACTAATAAATGAATTTAAAATACTGACCACGTTTTAGTTATTTTTCTACAATAAAAACCTTCACCAATACAGTGGAGATGAAATAGTGTCTAGTATAGTGTTTTTCTGTCAATTTATTTATTAGATTTTCAACTCTATCGTTCAGAAATAAAGTCGAAAATCCGATGACAAAAAATTGGAGAAGGGTGATGTACTGGCTACTGTAAAAGTAAGTATATTATGAGGGAGTACCTCCTCCTTGAGTTCATAGTCAGTGGTATGTTTGAGTTGTACGAGCGAGTGCTTGGTGGCGGAGAGCGTCTTCTCGGTCAGTCGACGCATGTCGCGGGCGAACTTCTTCAGGAACGCTTCCACGCGACCGTCCACGTACGAGACGCTGGGAATAACATATTTGATTACTTTTTGTAATATATTACTAAAATGCAGGTAGCTGATGTACTAAGGAATAAAATTGGCTATTTTTATTTTGGAAAAATGGCGCAAAAAATACAGTTATTCCAACATTCATAATCTACGTGGACAAAGTCGCAGGCAACAGCTAATATTTAATAAAAACAAAGAAAAATAAATAATTACCTGAATTTATCAACCTGTGTGTTGACAGTAACTGAGAACCCGAGCACTCCGAATGTATACCGCATTATACTGAACACGCTGTACCCGAGCTGCTCCTTTGTACGGAGCGCGTCAAATACTGGCTCCTCCATCAATAACTGCCATAGAGGAAAATATTATCAATACTGAGGAAATAGAACTAAATAGAAATAAATAGCAATAAATATGGCTATGGGATTTAGTAAAATTGACCTTGGAATCAATAGAGTAACCAGTGGCGTGCACAGATTTTCGAGACAGGGTAGGCAACTAAATATCGTATGATTAAAGCCCTCCCCCCCGGTCATACAATCATACTCCTACAAGACAGGTACATGTATAGAATACATTTTGTTGAAAAGTGCGTTCAAGAATATTGTGGTTTATTCTTTCGCCAAATTACATACACTGACATCTCGCGTATTTTTTGTAAAGTACTACATCAGCTATCGAATAAGCCAACAAAACTTACAAATAATGAAGCATCTATTTATTATACTAATAATCTATATATATATAATTCAAAGGTGATTGACTGACTGACTGACTGACATAGTGATCTATCAACGCACAGCCCAAACCGCTGGATAGATTGGGCTAAAATTTGTAATACAGATAGATGTTATGACGTAGGCATCCGCTAAGAAAGGATTTTGATAATTTCCACCCCCAAGGGGGTAAAAAAGGGGATGAAAGTTTGTATGAAACTTTGTCAGTTTTAAACCGATCGGGTTTAAATTTGGCATGCAGATAGATGTTATGACGTAAGCATCCGCTGTGAAAGGATTTTGATAATTTCCACCCCCAAGGGGGTAAAATAGGGGATGAAAGTTTGTATGAGACTTTGTCAGTTTTAAACCGATCGGGATGAAATTTGGCATGCAGATAGATGTTATGACGTAGCAATCCTCTGTGAAAGGATTTTGATAATTTCCACCCCCAAGGGGGTAAAATAGGGGATGAAAGTTTGTATGAGCCTTTGTCAGTTTTAAATCGATCGGATTGAAATTTGACATGCAGATAGATGTTATCATATAAGCATCCGCTAAGAAAGGATTTTGATCATTTCCACCCCTAAGGGGTAAAATAGGGGGTGAAAGTTTATATGAAGCTTTGTCAGTTTTACACCGATGCAGATGAAATTCGGCATGCAGGTAGATGTTATGACGTAGGCATCCCCAAGTAAGGATTTTGATTATTTCCACCTCCAATAGGGTAATGTAGGGGATGAACGTTTGTATGAAGCTTTGTCAGTTTTACACCGATCGGGTTGAAATTCGGCGTGCAGATGGATATTATGACGTAAACGTCCCTTTAGAAAGGTTTTTGAACATTCTCACCCCAAAGTATGATACTTTGACAGTTTTAAATTGATCGGGCTGAGACTTTGCATGCATAAATTTACTATGACATAGGTATCTACTTAGAAAGGATTTTGATAAATTCCACCCCTAAGGGGATAAAATAGGGAATGAGAGTTTGTATAAATCTTCTTAGCCATTGAATTTAGAATCATTGAATCTTTTTGAATTACATTCGGTAAAACGATGATTTGGGACCTGGGTAACGTTTGATAGTTTTTATCACAGATGTCCCACGGGAACGGGAACTATGCGTCAATGCCCCGGGATTGTCTAACTCTTAACCACTGAACTTATTTTAGAGAGATTCGGTACAACAATAGTCGATAGAATAGTTTTTATTACTCAAACCTTACGTGATCGGGCACTGTACTGGTAAGATCCCTGCGGGCATATTTATTTATTGAAACTACGATAAATCATTTCAAAATAGGTAAATCTTACTTGGGCACTGAATTGATTCTGTCAAAAGTCATTAATCTACGCGGACGAAGTCGCGGGCAACAGCTAGTAAATCATAAATTTGATGAACCAAATTCAATTATCAAATTGCTAAATAATCTATTCAAAATCATAATTACGAATTTAAGAACGTAGGTACCTACCAACAAACAAAACAACAACAAGCGCGGCCGGCTGTGGCCGAGCCGAGTATAAGCGGTACATTTGTTATTACATTACATAATTATTAATAATAAATTAATATGTAAATCAAAACAACCCGAGGTATAAGTTTATATTTTTAAGAATTATCAATCAATAAACAAGAACATCATATAAAAGATCCATTATAGTACCTACATATTTACATTACCTACCTTTGACTTGGGTCAATTCTCGTAACTTGAGTTCTGCCTATGGTCATTACCTGAATCTAGTCGTTATAGGACACATTTTGGCGAAAACTTACTGTTTTTAACTTTAAACAAACACAAAAAATTACCTATTATCAACACAAACTTCACAATCGAATAATATACTAGACACTGATAAACAAATACACTATTTGAAAAACCGACACATATATTTTACTACTTCTACACATATTTATGCAACTTTATGTTTAAAACTAATTCCTTATAATTTAAACGAAAACATAAACAAAGCGATCGCACATCACATGAAAACAATATGGCCGAAAACATTGGAAAGTCATTACCCATCGTAGTCAATTGAGTGTTTATTATAAAAAAATTATAGCTAAAACATTAAGGCAACACAGTGTTTAATTATAAAAAAAAACAAAACGTTAATTTACATAAGTCAAATGGAATTGCATCATTGTCTTATTATTATTTTCCAATAAGAAACATTCGTTGATAATAATTTGAAACTTTGAGTAGCGGCAACTTGACGTTTCGATAACTTCCTTTTAACTTTTAAAATAATAAAGTCAACTCCTCGTTTAAAGTTTCTATAAAGCGACAACGCGTAAAAATGTTAAGATTTAATTAAAACACCTGAAACATATTTTATTAGTATGCATAATTATAAAAAGACATTCCCATTATACCAAACGCGTTCAGAAGTTTTAACAAAAAATTCAATAGATGGCGCAGATTCACAAATTTCATCAAGTCCGGCTAGATTGAATCGTGTAATAATTTTTTGCGTTTATGAATGGTTATTCTGTGCTGTGACCATAGTCACGTGACTTTCACGCATGCGCGTTGCATACTTTTTGTGACGTCACAACCACCAACCAAGATTTAAGGAATAGCAGCGCATGCGTGGTGCGTGCGGCGCGCATTCATTGCTTTACAAAGGCGTGCGATCCGTGTATAGTATATGTGAATGTATATTTATGTTAGCCGTTTTTTTACAAACTTTTATTATATTATTGAATCTTAATAAACGCGTTAGTACATTTTATGTCAAGCAAAGCCTATTTGCCTATATGGACTGCACGCCACTGAGAGTAACTATATTGATGGGGAATATAAAAAAGAGGGACGTCCAGGGCGCTTACTCTTGAAACCAATCTCAATGTCAATGCAATAAAATCTCAATAATTACTCAATGTAATGTAAAACTATACAACCACAATAGCAGTTGTTAGAATAGCATTCAGAGTATGGAATATAAAGCCAAACTCAATACTATTTACTTCATTAATATCCACGCAATACGGATGCAATGGGCGCTATTGTTGCAACTCAAGAGTACTAAATTTCACAATGTCAATGTCGATCTATCGGAATTGGATTCAAGAGTAAGCCGCCTGATGAGAAACTATGGCTATGAACCCCGGCTTTCCAGCTAAAGGGTCCACGGCATTTTGCCGACTTGTCACCCTTTAGCCACTGCTTGGCTTTTTAAAAGTTACTAAATAAGTGTTTAAGTGCAACTTACGGCGTTAATGTAGCAATTACTCACTCACCTTATGATGATTAAGCTAATTAGTGAGCGGAAAATCAAAAAGCCAAAAAATAAAGTATTTGTTTTTACATGGAAAGTTTGATTTTAATACCTTTCTGTTGGAATATTATAAGGTTACAGAAGGAATTTAGTATTTTTGTATAAAATAACATTTCCTAAAGTTTCGTTTAGGAGAATTTTAATAAATTTGTCAAATCAATAAACATAAAACATAATTTTGGTGTCATTGATTAGACAAACAGTATGTTAAGGGCGCTCTATGAAGCTTTAGTTAAAAGTCACTTGGAGTGTAACTCTGGTATCTGGAGTCCACATGAGGACAAATATAAGTTCATGATAGAACGAATCCAAAATAAGTTTGCCAGATTCATGTATTCAAAATCGTACGGTATATCCTTGGATACCCAATACCATATCCAACTTTGTTTGTACTGGGTATGGTAGGATACTACAAACTGGAGGTGAGGCGTGAAGTAGGTCTAGTTACTTATATGTTTAAGGTGTTGCGAGGTATAACGCACCACCCTGCCCTACTGGAGGAATTACACCTGTGTGTTCCGAACGAGTACGTGCGGCGTAGGCGGCGGCCGCGGCTGCTGGTGGTACCGTGCGCACGCACGAACCTCTTGCAGAAGGCACCAATGACGCGAGCGTTGCGCATATTGAATGCAATAGCGGACAGTATGGATATATTCTCGTGTACACTCAACGAGTTCACAAAGGTAGCATATGAGGTTATTGTGAATAATAACTAAGTTCCTAGGATTGGTACTTATTTGATTCTATTTATATAATTTATGTTGTTAGTACCTAGGTACATAGATTTTATAATATAAGTACCTACATATTTGTTATTACTAAAGTTATTTACGTTTATTAGGGATAGTTTTGTGGAAATGTATTAGCCTGTAAGTTTAATTAAGGTTCTTTGTGCTTATGTTCTTTTGTTTTTCTTTGTCTAAATTATTTTACGGTTATTACCCGGATATTGTGTTATAAGTTTACTAATAATAATGTAACTGCATTTATCGTATTAGGTGTGCCTGTAATGATGAATGTAATGTTTAAATATAAATAAATAAATAAATAAATCAATTAAAACTACACTAATGCCATCTAGCATGCGCAAAAATGACACCAATCATCGTTTAACCCATAGTATGCCTGAACGTAGATATACGCGAGACACAATATGTTTTCTATTGTGTCTCATATACCGGCAGATAAGAGTAACGACATATTTTTTATTATTATCAATATTTCTTGCTTACCATGAGCACTTCCAGTGTAGCAGTGTCCTTAGGATTGGTGGCGTCACCCTGGTAGTAGTTGGTGATGATACTGTTTGTTGAAGCCTCGTTCAGGCTCATCACACGGATCTTACGCTCGCCCAGAGGTAGTTGGTGTACTTTCACCTAGGAAAATAGTACATTAGAAACGTAAAATAACTGTCTTTTAATCGCGGAAGATAAGCAGAGGAACGTTTATTAATATTGATTTCTACTTATAATTTTATGTAAGAGAGGGTGAGGCAATTATTATTATTATAATAGGGACAATACGAGGCATTGTGTAATGGTAAAGTTTTAATAGTTTCAGAACTGGGTACGACAACTCAAATAACGAGGTAAATAAAAATATTTATAAAGCTGAAGAGTTTTGTTTGAGCGCGCTAACACCAGGAACTACCCGTACGATTTGAAAAAATATTTTTGTGTGGGATAGGCCATCTATCGAGAAAGGGCTATTAAACATCACGCTACGATCAAAATGAGCCGAGCACAGCGGGTAAAACCGTGCGGTCGCTACTGGTCAATACAGTAACTTCTGTGTGTAAATGCGCTGTACATTTTCCACGACAAAGTTTATAATGAGTACATTATAGAAATGTTATGTATGTACAATCAAGTCTTCTCGTCACAGATACCGCAAAGCCTGAAAAAAAGTCTCCAACGAGTGCGTCCTTCCAGTATTGACATACGGATCCGAGACGTGGACACTAACATCGCGACTGGTCCACCAATTTAAGGTCGCGCAGCGAGCTATGGAGTGGACTATGCTCGGAGTCTCTTTGAAGGATCGAATCCGAAACGTTGTGATACGGCAGAGAACCAAAGTTATCGACATGGCCCAAAGGATTAGAAGCTGAAGTGGCAGTGGGCCGGTGACATTTGGCGAAGAACCGATAACCGTTGGGATAAATGTGTCATAGAGAGGAGACCGCGTCTAGTGTAATGTAGTGTAGTGTAATGTAGTCTAGTGTAATGTAGTGGCGCCCTCCAGCTAGGTGGAGTGACGACATCCGCAAGGTGACTGGCAGTGGTTGGATGAGAAGAGCTGAAGGCCGAGCTCAGCGGCATGCCATCGGAGAGGCCTACGTCCAGCAGTGGACGAACACGGGCTGATGATGATGATGTATGTACTTACATCAGGGAACTCTTCCTCGGTGAGTGCGTTCCAGTTGATGGTGGAGAGTACGTTCTCAGATATCCTGATAGCGTCGTGCCACGCCAAGTTACCTTGCATTAGGATCTGTAAATGTTGAAATAAGATTGTTAGGTTTGTTAATACATAACATAACATCACACCTTTTATTCCCGAAGGGGTAGGCAGAGGTGCACATTACGGCACTTAATGCTACTGTACAATGTAACACCCACTTTATACTATTTATGTAATGTGTCCCATGTAATAGGGGGTGAACCTATTGCAACACATGAAAATTAAAAAAAATTACTCAGTAATATTTTGCCCTACCCGGGAAAGGAACTCGAGATCCCTTGCCCGGCAGTCGCACTTGTGACCACTCAGCCAACGAGGCAGTCGAGTTTATTAATCTACGCATCCTTACTAATATTATAAATCGGAAAGTGAGTTTGTTTGTTCTGCTTTCACGCCGTTACTACTAAACCGATTGCTTTGAATGTTTGCAGACGTAAAGTTAGAAGTCCGGATTAAATAATAGGGTATACTTTTTATCCCGGAAAAATTTTATATTCCCGAGGGAAAACAAAAGTATTGGTATAGATGGTGATGGGTGTATTGGAATATTTCACATGGGCTACTTTTTATCCTTTTGTGACGCGAGCAAAGCGGGTAAAAGCTAGTATGAAATAAATTAGTCGTTATTGTAGAGCTAATCTTAGTAACCACGTACCTGGCAATACATCTTGTCCAGCAGCCTGTCGCTGAAGTCGTTGAGTTCCTCCAGAGTGATGTTGTGTATGATGGCCGCCTTGTCGCGCGGCGACACGTACGGCATCAGGAGGATGTTCATACGGACGTCTCTGTATACAAACACCACTTTATTACTACTGTGGCCACACATGACACACGTGTCAAATGATAGCTCACACATATAAAGACTATCGATGAAAACAAAACGGTACTTTCCTTAATCAAAAAATTATTTCTACTGTTCAATACAATATAATATTGAAAAATAACCACACTTACATTAATTGATTTTATGACTAACTTAATTTTAGTATTATTCCATAATTTTTTTAAGAAATAAGTATTCTGTTTGACGCTAAAAACGTGACGTTTGACGCGAAAATTTATAGAACACTCTCGTTTTTGACAGTTCGAAAAAGTATTGAATTTGACTAGTTGACAAGCACCCAATTCAACGGATGACGTCACAAAAATCCTACATCGCACATGTGAAGTTTCCATGAGAATTAAACACGGATATAAAATCCAAATTAGCTACTGTTGGGCAGAAAACGACGACGTCACTTCTATGTACATTTTATACGTAGAAATGACGTTTTAGCCCCCACTCCTAAACTTGGATTCGTTATATCTAAGTATTATTTTATTATACAACAAAATAAAAAAATACGTGTCTAATATATTTTCATTACCTAACTGACGGACTAATTACACTGTCATCATCCCTATTGATCTAAGCGACATTTTTTAAAATACATTCTACATATGCATTCGAAATCAGCTAATTTTTCTCCATCGAATCGAATGGTGTATAGAGTTACTCAATGTCACAAAAAAATTACGCTTAGATCATTTAGCCTTTCAACCGTCGACATTAAGTTTTCTATAATAACTTACTTGGCCAATTTGTGCGGTTTGATGAGTACGTTGTGGTAGGTCCGCGCCCGAACTTCCCGCACCGCCTCGAACATGGCGGTCGTTAAATTCTTCGTCGACGACCGCATCTCTCGAGTTATTAGCTCCACTAATAACTGTAAATAAAGCTCGAGTTAAATAAAGACTGCCTCGTTGGCCCGAGTGGTCGCAACTGCGACTGCCGGGCAAGGGGTCTCGGGTTCGATTTTCGGGTCAGACAAGGTATTATTGGGTTTTCTAAAAATTCTCAGTAGTAGCACGGAGTCTGGAACTGTGCCCGGTATATGGCAATTGGCTCGCCCGGTATATGGCAATAGGCTCACCCCCTATTACATGGGACTCATAACATAAATAGTGAAAGTGGGTGTTACATTGTACAGTGGTATAATATGCACTTCTGCCTACCCCTTCGAGGATAAAAGGCGTGATGTTATGTGTTTTAAATAAAGGTCGGCTCACGAAGGATACACGAGTACATGTTACTTATAGAGCCATTATTTTCAGTTAATTTGAAATGTATGGTGTTCGAAATGTCTATGGGGTAAGGTTATACTACACAGGCCATAAACCTGTTTAAAGGCACAGTGATTAATTGTTGTTCCAATGATTAAATGATTTTGAAAGATTATTCAGACAGTAGTTAAGTTGCTGTATTCAAAAATAAAACTTATGAGACAACTTACGTGTAAGTTTTGACTATACCCCGTGACTTTCATCGTGAGCCCTTTGTCTCCGACGTACAAAGAGTGGGATAAGTCAGCCATGTTGGCTGGGTATACTTCTTCCTGCGAACAAAAGGAAAATAATGTTAACAAGTTTATTAAAAGTTAATGATATTAGGTATTCAGTTATTTAACTACGTAGAAGTGAGGATAGTTAAGAATGTTCGTTAAAAATCTGAAAAATTACGAAAAGACGACAAAGATAATATGAGTTAAAATGTTTATTAAAAGGGGATTACTAAATCAGTTGGAGAAAATAAAACAAGAAGTGCTGATTACCTTGAGTCCTTGCTGTAAAACGTCCGTCCATAGATCGAGAAGACATGAACTGTGGACATAAATCAACATTAATTCAGAACAACTGCCTCGTTGGCCGAGTGGTCGCAACTGCGACTGTGCGACTCCCGGGCAAGGGGTCTCGGGTTCGATTCCCGAGTCGGGCAAAGTATTACTGAGTTTTTTAGGAATTCTCAGTAGTAGCACGGAATCTGGATTTGTGCCCGGTATATGGCAATAGGTTCACCCCCTATTACATGGGACTCATAACATAAATAGTGAAAACTGAGTGTTACATTGTAAAGTGTGCACCTCTGCCTACCCCTTCAAGGGTACAAGGCGTGATGTTATGTAATTCAGAACAATGTATTACACAGAGTATGAATATTTATTCATACTTGCGCAAAGATTAATAATTTGCGCAAAGTTTTGCGCATCAAAATGTTTACTTACTCTCTAGGTGACTTCAAGCTGAGCGGCGATATAAAATAGAAGTATAGTAATGCTGTTGGAAACCGGAACTTGAAGTCTGGCTTATACCATAGCTCCATGTGCCTATTCTTACGTATTAAGTTAGGTTGGTCCAGTCTGGGGAGAAAGAGAAAGAGTATTAATATGTGTCTATAGTGGTGAATAGTAAAATAAACCTTATAGCATCAAAGATTAAGGTATATTTTGCATTTTTCAATATGTATTACATGGCGTTGTTTTTAATGGTTTGCAAAATGATAATTTAAATTCTGTAGATAATAATCGTTAATACTATGAGGGGTTTCGGTTTTAAATGTGCACGAGAGAATTAGAATTAAAAAAAAGTGTGATGTCCACTCATCGATTAAACAGGCCACTTAGGAAGAACATCATCATCAACAGCCTATAAGCGCCCACTGCAGAGCAATGACCTTTTTCACTTAGGTATAAAAATCTACGTGAAAATACTAATAAACAAAATGTATTCTAAAATCCACTAACCTGAAGTTATTAACAGTAGCAATAAGATCGCCGTGGCTCAAAGTCTTGGTATTTTTATTACTGGCTTCGACTTTTTTATGAATATCCTTGATAGAGCTGTTTTTAAGGTCTAAACCCAATTCGTTAGCGGTCTCTAAGTACACTGGGTCTGGTTGAACGAGGCTGAAGTTTGTTGTAATGTACACGTTCTTCTCAGGGAGATGGAACTGGGTGTATGGTTCCACTGTCAGCCAACGGTTCAGCCATTTGCTTGGGATTTCTGTAGGCAGGTAGTATTTCTTATTACTTTACACCTTCGAAGTATAATTGGATTTTACTAATATGAAATTATTACTGTAATTTATGGAAGAATATACACTTGCACAAAATTTTCATACTGACAAAATTCTAGTTTGATTCTGAATTTATATATTTCTAGTCTGATTTCTGGCTCCATTTCAAAGCGACTTAGATACTTTTTGAGTTAAAAATTATATAAAAATCACTTTATTTTAAAGAGTATACTTGCCCCAATTAATGTTGAAAATTTCTAGAAAAACATAAATAATACGATGAGACGAATTTAACATTACATAAAATTTAGTATTTCAACCTACTTTCAACTTTACGACTTAAGAAATGAGGTATAAAATCGCTAACTCACCCATTTTCTTGTACTCGGTGCCGAACCATTTCTCCTTGGCGTCGTAGTTGATGGGCGTGGAGTGCTTGTTGGACAGGATCATTATGTTCACTGTGTCCGCGCGCATACACTCCAGCAGCTCCGATATACCCTGAGGGTAATACGAAGAAAGTATTATTTTTACGTAAGAGAGCCATATTTCAGTCTTGGCTGGCTCGGCTAGAGAAAACCGGCATAAAACAACGCCTGTATTATAGATGTATGTATTATGAGGTCCACATTTTTTTTAAACTGTTGAAATATCGTACTCAAAATTTGTTCATACAAAAGTAGTCTCTAAACATGGGAGATAAGGTCTATATTGTAGTTAGTGGAGAGCGGTCACTCACGGACCCGGAACAACAATCCGTGAATCACAAAAAGAGTTGCTCCGTGCGGAAATCGAACCCTAGACACGTTGCAACCTGTGACACTTCCGATGTTCTAGATGTCACCAAAGATCATCTCTTACGAACGTAAGCAGATACATAAAACAAAGGATAAAATACACATAAAGGCAGTCTTGTCACTTATAGTGATTTCTACCAGACAACTTTTAGGTGGATATAATGCAAAAGAAATATTTATACGGGTTGTGTACTACGAAAGAAAAAGAAAATAAATTTAGTTATTATAATTACTATTGTAACCCTATGCCCATGGGAGACAGGCGTGAAGTTATGTATGTGATTATAATTACTACTAATCATTATTATAAAAAAATGTATGTTACCTTAGGATCATATTTATAGTAGAGTCGGTCCCCAGTGATGAAGTGCTCCGGCGGGTAGAAGTGCATGTTCTCCGACAGTGTCTCCACGTACTCCGCCGGCTGAGACTCCTCCTCGAACCGGAAACTTGTCTCTTCTATCGTCTGTTAATATGGAAAACAAACACTATTATTATTAATGCGAAGGTTTGAATGTATTTTTGTTACTCAATCACGTCGAAATAGCTGAAGTGATCAAGATAAAATTTGATACGGGAATAGATTATGGTCTAGATTAACACACAAGATATTTTGTCCTACACCCACTTCTCATGCATGAGGGTGCGGGTTCGAAACCTACCAACGGCAAGTACCAATGTGACGTTTTCCGAGTTATATGTACTTTCTAAGATTATTTAGACACCACTGACAAACGGTGAAGGAAAAACATCGTGAGGAAACCTGGACTTATAATTTCTAATTATAAGTTTGAAATCGCCAACCCGTATTGAGCAAGCGTGGTGATTAATGCTCTAACCTTCTCCATGTGAGAAGAGGCTTTGCTCAGCAGTGGGCATTTATAGTCTGTTGATGATGATGATACTTTTGTCCTACTGAAACGTGGGCGAAACCGGTGGCAGAACCTAGCTTGACTAATGAGTAAATGAAGGTGATGCCAAACCCATTTATTTACATTTATAATGTAACAAAAAATAGAAATTAACAGTATAATACTCACCCTTATTTCATCGTATATTCGTTCCGAAGGTCCGATCTTCTTCAGCATATTTATGTATGAGAATATTGCTTCGAGCACCTGTAACCAAACATTAACACATTGTATTTGTAAACGATATCATAATACAATGACAGATTAATTAAAAAATAAACTATTTAAGTGAATAATATTATTGTGCTTACCTCGTCAACATGATCTAATCCTTCCTTAGTGAGCACAACTTGTGTAGAGAACAAACTGTACATTGATGTGTAGTCGATGCCGCTTTCTGAGTTTCCCGTGTATATGCCTAAAGCCCACACCCTGGTGAATAAAGGATAAAGGTTTTAAAAACGCAAGTAATAAATAATAACCGTGATAAAAATACTACATTCGTTTTTAGAAACAATCTTCATGATGCGCAAAATTGTAAAAGATTGCGCAAACATTTTGCGCAAAGTGTGGTATACCCAACTGAAACAAATTAGAATACAATTGCTACCATCCAAACTTTTCCCGCGGGTGCCATTTTTATTTAACTGAGACCAGGCAACAGTGATTTCTAATAAACTTTTGATCCCTTTAAACTGCGATCTCAAAGCGTGAAGATTATAACAAGACACCGTTTTGCCCTTAGTCCAGTAACGGACCTTCTCGTGGGCTATTGACATGTTGCTAAAAATTTGTTAAATATTGCAATAAACACATACTTTTTCCTAAGGAATGATAGAAGACTGCCCTTCCCTTCGTGTCCGAGCAGGTACGATATGTACTGGTGCGGCTTGGACTCGTATTCCGAGAGCAGCGAGCGCATGCACCATGTTAAATGTACCTGGGCGATAAAATTATGACAACTTAGTTTTAAGTAGTTAGGAGAACATAACGTCACGCCTTTTATCCCCGAAGGGGTAGGCTGAGGTGCACACTACGGCACACTGTTCAATGTAACACCCACTTTTCACTATAGTATGTTATTACAGTGGCGTGCAGTCCATATAGGCAAAAAGGCTTTGCCTACCTTATAAATGTTGTGAATAAATAACATATACAAATGTACTAACGCGTTTATTAAGATTCAGTAATATAATAAAAGTTTGTAAAAAAAAAACGGCTAACATAAATATACATTCACATATAGTATACACAGACCGCACGCCTTTGTATTATTAGTCCCAAGTAGTAGTGAGCCTATTGTCATATACCGGTCACAATTCCATACTCCGTGCTACTATTGAAAAAAACCCAGTAATACTTTGCCCGACTCGGGAATCGAACCCGAGACCCCTTACCCGGCAATCGCACTTGCGACCAATCATACAGACTTTCTTTTTTTTCTTTCAAATAACTGTATAAAGAAGTATTAGTGAGTAACCCAACAACAGCTACATGTTATAACATCTCTAATGAAATAAAACAATCAATATTGTAAACATAACGTAATAAGATGTTTACGTTCGATTACAGGCCTAATTCTTTTGTCGACAGTGTGAGTACACACATGACAATCGAAATTAGATCAAACATAATAGCGTTTGAGACTCTCTTCAATACTACAGTATTTTATTTACAACTGCTGTGCATCTGAATAGTAGCGTAGCATTTGTTTTGACTATCAAAATAGAACATTCTTGTAGGCTATGTGTGTTATTTAGGTTCCTGCGTTAATAAAACTAGTTATAACCAGTTTACAAATCCCTTAACAGACTACGTATTTGCACTAGAATTACGCAGATTTTGATATAGAAAATCCGTATGAGTATCTATATACATATATAAAAATGAATCCCTTTTCCCTTGGTCACGCCATCATGCGTGAAAGGCTGGACCGATTTGACTAATTCTTTTTTTGTTGTATTTTTTATAATTAGTTGAAGGTTCTTAAGTCAGAAAATGTCTTAAAAATCCTACGGGAACTGGAGAAAACGGGATTACGCGTACGAAGTCGCGGGCAGAAGCTAGTTTTGATATAATAACCGTGAATCGCACCAAAAACCACTAGCTCAGCAGTTGTAAATCAAATTAAATGATTATAGTCTAAAATATAAATGATATAGGTACCTCAGTAGTATCTCCAATAGGTTTGACGTAGTAGATGCTTCTGAACTCCGGTGTGACAGTGTCAGGTTTAAAGGTAAACTGACTGAAGTCATCGGACGGCAGTTTGTTGGTGGGAATATGTCCAAACGTGTTCACCACATAGCTTTCTAGGGCTGATAGTTCCATTCGTGCCTGGAGACAATATTGTATTCAGTTATTTTAGGAGTTTTACATAAAGTCCATTGCTTCCAATACCCAAATCCTTAACATTCCTAACCCCCAAAAAGCCAGCAACGTACTTGTAATAGGGTAGATGCCTAATTTTTATTTTAATGTCCGTCTGGTAGATTATTTTAAATCATTAAACACGTATTTTTTTTATTACAGAAACGAATACTTTCGACGATATATTAATTTGAAATGTCGAGTGACGTCACTTCTATGTACATTTTATACGTAGAAATGACGTTTTAGCCCCGATTCTTAAATTTTGATTCATTTTATCTAAGTTTTGTTTTATTATACGACAAAATAAAAAAAAAAAGTGTCTAATATTTTTTCATTATCTAACTTACGGACTAGTTAGATTTATAATTTTCATACCCTGTCATCATCCCTATTACTCTAGTGTTGCGGGCGTCCATAAGCAGCGCTGAATGCTTACCATCAGGTGATGTGTATGCTAGCTAATGTCTATCTTATAACCATCTGTTATTGCCTCTGTAGGTGTCTTAACTCTTTGTGTACCGTCATTATAGACACAATTAAAGAACAATAGGTTGCGGTCACCGGTGTCTTCGCGGTGTTTGACAGTTTAAAACCCAACCAATGGACTATTTGACAGAAACCAAGCATCAGCGCTCTCTGACAAAACTTGGGACCTTTTAAACAGTGCCTCCATGGAGGTTATGGCTAACATTCGGTCGAGGAAACCCTTGCCCCTAGTTCAAGTATGTAATAAGACTTTCTGAATCCCTGTCTTGTCAAAGGGGTGTACAAGTCATGTGGCAACCCCAAATATTTACTTACTATAATATTGTCTACACTACAGGGTGCCTACAATAACCATTTTATTTACAAAACAGTCTGTTTAGAAAATATTATTAGCTTGTGCTAAGACAGCGAGTGACTGCTAATATTAAATATTATCAAATTAAACACATAACATTTATATTGTAAGTCATTAGTCTTTACAGGCTATTGTATTTTTAATTTATCTACCATAGACAATTAGTTTTGTTATGAACTTCTTGGAGACTTTCTCAGATAATGATTCATTTATTTAATGTTAGAATGTTTTCATTCAAAAACTTATTACAAGCAAACAAAGAAACAGAGAGATTTATTTTTATAGCTCACATAAAGAAACAACAAAATTATATGTATATAAAGAAATAAACGAACCTTATTTCTTTTTAGTACAAAATACGTAGGTATGTAGTTAATACTTTGTGCAGACTCCAGAACTCGAAAAAAAAACAGAAAAAAAAGAAGTATCATTTCTACCAACTGAAGAAAGATCTACCAACCTGAACAGCGACAGTCATCCGATGCGCACTATAATGTCGTTTCCTGAACGTGTGAGCTGCCTGATGTAGACGCTCATCATCATCTATATCATCCTTCAGACTCCGCAGGTTGCCCCACGTGAACGATCGAGCTGGATGACCTTCGGGAAACAAGCTGGAGAGTAACTGGTCCTTTCTGTTAGAGTCTGATGGTGATGCTATTGCGAATTCTGGAATAAAAGAAAGAATCTTATTGTGTTGGATAGTCGTAAAGCTATGTATATATATATAGACTACAAAACATTACGTTATGATCAATCAATATGCACCGAGCCAAGCAGGTGCAACCCCATGATGGTGGAGTTGACATTTGTCACTACCCCTCTCTACCCGCGAGTGTCGTAAGCTCCGACTATCGCATTTTTTTTCTATAGCGACTAAAATCTTCATGGACTTCCCGTATCGTGGGGACGACGGAGGGGCGTACAACAGTCTTACCGACTAAACTCTTTGTGGTGTTCCTTCACTGCCTGTGACCGTGACCCGGGTTGCCCTTACGGAATCACCACACCCGGCAGGCCTTCGACCTACCGCTATGTTCATGGTAGGTCCCACAACGTTAGCGGCCCTGGGAGACTGCTTCCCTTCTTCGAGTAGCGCGCGTGGAACACTAAGCTAACGCCTACTCCTGCCTATATAGCGGACATCTTACTCCCGCAGTCAGTCGACCGCAAGCCTCTCCTATGGAGGTCGAAATAACACAGGCTACTTTTATCCCGGGAACGCGGACGAAGCCGCTGGAAAAAGCTAGTATTCTATAATTTACTACATAATATATTGAAAATGTCAAGTTATTAAGTCTTGGCATCTAAGCGGCTCTTGACTCAAACCTCGATAGTATCTAACATTAAAAATGTATTTAAAAATCACATAATTTATATATTTTTTAATACCTTGCGTATCTAATAACTCCTTGGTACCTACGTGAAACGTTTAGCAGTAAACGCCTAACTAATCGCATGTCGAATATGACCTTTCTCGTAGCTATTGGATTTATAATAACTTATAAGTATTCTCTGACATTATCGACGCAACCGTTCAAGTGCGAATTTACATAATATTTCATGGGAAGGTATTTTTAATAATAAGTTTCACTTATCCCATGAAGGTATGCAAAAACAGAGCACCATAATAATATACGTAATGAATAACCCCACTATCTAATGTTTTTATCAAAGACTTGATTCTGCAAACTTAATGCTATTGATTGATTAACCTTTTGTGTGTTTAAGATGTGAATCCACGCGAGACATAATGTATTTTCTATTGTGTCTCATATCGGTGCATTCAAAAGGTTAAACGGAAAACCACGTGCTCCTAAAGGAATAAGGAAAACACTAGTTTTGATTCATTAAAATAACACACAGTTTTTATTAGCTCCCATAATAAGGAAGCTGGATGAGATAACCAAACTATTTATTATTTTTACTGACGGCCGGAATTAGTAATCGAAAATAACTGGATCATATGTCAAAAATGGATAGAGTAATATGTAATCGACCTCTTGACTGCCGGTATATAAGACACAATAGAAATGCATTGTGTCTCGCGTAGATCTACGTTCGGCACACAACGGGTTAAAGGACATAAATAAGTAAATTGTTGGTTAATGACCTCGTCGGTCGAGTGGCCGAGTGGACTGCCGGGCAAGGGTTCGATTCCCGGGTCAAGAGTATTACTAAGTTTTTAAAAAAATCTCAGTAGTAGCACGGAGTCTGGAATTGTGCCCGGTATATGACAATAGGCTCACCCCCTATTACATGGGACTCATAAAGTAAATAGTGAAAAGTGGGTGTTACATTGTTATTTGTATATGTTGGTTAAAGTAAACCTGTTGATGTCTTAAGCATTACGATTTGGAATGATTGGATTACAATTGTCTGATCACTTAATCCGAGTATAAGTAAGTTTCTACTTAATTAGGGGTGCTCTTTGTTCTCTTGTAAAGTCAACGAATGGATTAAAATACGGAAGTAAAACGGCTTTAGACTAACCCAATTAAGTAATTCGGATTAAGGGCTGATTTTTCAATCAACAGATAATTTTTATCTGTAGAAAATTAATTGACATTCGACAGTTTTTAGTGTGGAAGAAGTATTAAATATGCAAGATTATTCCTCCAATATTTATCTGGCATTGGAAAAATCAACGTTTAGACTTGTTCTGTTGTTCATTGGAGGCTAGTCTCATAACATAATATAACATCACCCCGAAGGGATAGGCAGAGGTGCACATTACGGCACTTAATGCCACTGTACAATGCAACACCCACTTTTCAGTATTTATGAGTCCCATATAATAGGGGTTGAGCCTATTGCCATATACCAGGCACAATTCCAGACTCCGTGCTACTACTGAGAATTTTTTTTTAAAACCCAGTAGTGCCCGCTTTGCCCGACTCGGGAATCGAACCCGAAACCCCTTGCCCGGCAGTCGCTCTTGCGACCACTGGGCCAACGAGGCAGTTAGTTTCATTAATTTGTATATCAATAGACTTGGCATCTCCTCAAAGAATTTTGACATATCTTGTTAGACATTATTACATTTTGTACTCTTGAATTGTGTATATTCCACGTGACCATTGTCCAAAAGTATAAACTATTATAGTCGCACTTTTGATTAGATTTTAGAAAGTAGTCTGGCATTCAAGTCATGTCGTGTGTGAATCGATTTTCCATCATTCCTTGTATTGCAAGCTACCTATTATAATTGTGTAATGAAACTTAGTATTCTACACACTGCCATTAACAGCCATGGAAACGTAGTAACAACAAATGCATTGTCTGGTAATTCTAACGAACATACCTAAATACTTAATAGAGATGATCACCTAGTGAAATTGTACTTTATTTCACATATAAATACGGGTCAGAATGTTATAATTAATTGGAAATTAAAATAACAACCATGGCGTAAAGTTTTCTTTAGTAGACTAAAATTGAGAAAAAGCTAATTCCAATCTAGAATCACACTTGCGACCTTGTTCAATGTTGAGATAAAAACAAATGCAACATTATATGAGATGAGACCAAAAATAGATGTTTGTAATTTTTCAATTACGTGTTCTTGGCTAATAATGTAACAATATAGTAAAGAGATGCAAAACCCACAATTCACTAGATTAATATTTTGTGTATTAAACAGTCGGCATGGTGTCTAAGATGTGTGCCTTATGTAGGTATGTCAATATAGTGAATTGTGGATTTGTTACGAGTCCCAGTAGGAGGAGCCTATTGCCATACATAAGGCACACATCCAGACTCCGCGCCGACTGTTAAATACACAAAATGTTAATATAATACTAGTTTTCCTAACCCGGGAACTGGGCCCGAGATTCCATACTCGGTAGTTGTACTTGTAAGTACTTGATCAACGAGCCATACAGTTTCCAATAAGGTCTGAACTTAACCAAATCCAATACAAGCAAAAAAGGAATGTGTTTTAAAGAACCAATAGAACGTAATGAAGCCGGCAATACCCTTGTAACGCCTTTGGTGTTTCGGGAGTCCATGGGCAACGCCGATTGCTTACCATCAGGTGGTCCATCTGGTCGTTTGTCTACTTACTCCATAAAAAATGCTTTTTAGAATATGAAACTGACCTGACTCAATAGCCTCGCGTTCCCTCTGCATGGCCTCCTTCATCATGAGTGGACTGACGAAGAACTGGCTGAACATATCCATCGCTTTGGGCAGGTGCTTCTCCTGGATCTCGAAGTAGAAGGTGGTCACCTCACAGTCCGTTGATGCGTTGTCTGAACCACCTTTTTTCTGTATACACAGAAACTTTGTATAACTATTTTTCATGACTATACATTACTATTAAACCCATTATATGTTTGCGGTCGACCATCATTAGGCGATTTTCGCATGCACTCGGCGCAACCGAGCGATCACAGGACAAATAGGGCGGTGGATAGCGTATTTTTGTAAGGAGGGAAAGTCATCGAATGGCTTCTCCTTCCCTGGTGTGGCGAAAGGGAGTGTCAGACTCTTTGTGACTAAAAACCACCCTGTTCCTACTCCTGCATTTCGAGCCGGAGCCCCGGCAACCCGTTACGTTGTTCACGGCTCCCAATCAGCATTAGCCCTATTGGGCCCGATCTGCGGTGGTTTGATGGCTTTTGATTTTGTTTAAAAAGTGTACTACCGTAAACTTTGCCGATAGTACGTGTACATCTTTATTTCACAGATGTTAGGTGGTAGTAACATATACATAACTTAGCTTCCGTCCTTCCGTCTTTGCCTACGATCCCAAGGCAAAAAGTGACCTAGGGTTCGTACTATTGTTGGGTTCTACAAAATGCTCGACAATATCATGACATCAAACCTATTGTAACTTTTAACAAACATATTGTTGAATTGCGAAAAGTAATAGTCTAATATGTTTGTGATGTAATCTCAAATGTACCTATATTGTATAAATGTATGTATATTGCAGGAGATAATGAAGGAAGTCGTGTATTGTTTACATCTGTTTACCTTCCCAATATTGTGTACCTACACGTAAGTATTTCAGACAATATTTACAGAAACATACGTAAGTATTATTTCTATTGTAAACAAGGCTTCTTACAAAACAATAGATTCTTGTTTTAAATATTTAATGTTATTTATAGTCCATCTGTTTAGGTAATTAACTAAAGGTAAACAAAGAAAACCACGTGACACAGAGATACTTAACCTACTATTACTTCAAATATTTCTCGTGTTTTAATTTTAACTAAATTCACTTTAAAATCGTTCATTTGTCATACACACACATACAAGTACAAATGCCTAAATCGTACAAGAGCCTAGCCTATGAGTCTATTTCATTATCATGTTTAAATAGAAACTATTCTGAATCTGATGTACGGATTTCTTTCTTGTACGGATATCTGTCTTTGGGCCAAGTTTCTTCAATATATTTGAACACATTAATTACAAACGTTGATTAACCTAAACTTAAATAACTAAATAACAAAAACAAAACAAAGAAACAAGTTAAATTCAACAAAATAGGAACGCGAGCGCAAACGACGAGAGAGCTGTCAATGGCGCCTGATTAACCGACTAAACGTAATACACGCTACTTTCATTGTCGCGCTACATCTTCGTTGTACTCTTTAATTTGACAACATTATTTTGCTTCGTTCTTAAAGAAACGTTTTGGATACCTGGGATTTTAGGCTCTTTATGGTGTCTATTGTAATGAAATATTATATTATTTAATAAATTTTATTAAATTAATATCCTCAAGCAGATATATTTAATATTTATTAAGAAATACGTGAAAAGGAACAGAAACATAACATTTAATAGAGAAAACTGTCGTAAAAAGGGAAACAATTTTATTTTCTTATGAAGTATTTTGAATCATGGAAATGTCAACTATAAAGAACTCTTTTTATGGTTTGTTTACAAATAGTTAACTACCTAAACAGACGGAGTATAGCATAGATTTTTTAGCAAAACATGATTACAATTTTAGTAACTAAGTCTTAGAGAATGATGTTAGATTTTTCGATTACGAAATTGTAATTTTACGTTTTACCTTCTTCATGAATAATTTTCAAGCATCAAAATCCGTTCAGCAGTTTTTAAGTTAATCGCGAACAGACATACAGACAAGGGAAATAAAATAAATAATAAACGTCGAACCATCAAATATAAAAAAGGGACTTTTGATCCAACAGTCAAACTATTTATGTATAATTTTGTTGGACATGGTTGGAGATTGTAAGGTATATCATTTAATTTTTATTATTAAATAAATAATAATAATAAACTTAGGTTTATTGAGATCCAATATTCAGTCTGAATGCATGTTGTTTCCATGTAAACAATCATGTTTGTTCACACAATTTGAACAGGTATAGTGATATTTACCCGATGACGGCCAAGCCAAAAGAGTGGTTATGATTTTGTTAGAGATCCTATAGTTAGTGTAACAAACTACGAGTTAGGAATTGCAATCACGGTATCTCTTGTGTTAGTTAAATCTGTCCGGATATCGCCAGATTGGCACTAATCCGACCGGATACGTTCTGATTGGGTTGGCTAGATGTGTAGTGCGTGTGTGTCGCAGTTTCTGGCCAGGGCAAATGCGTCATAGAATACAACTATAATGGCAATTTTCTTTAATTTTTAAATGTTTATTGTAAAGTTAAACAATTTTACGGTTCATTTGCATTATTATTTATTATATATAATACTATAATTTCCATGGCAATAATTCTTTAATAATAAGTATTTCCATTTTGATTAAATCTAAGATTCCTGAAATTCTTAGTGGATAATTAGATAATAGGATATTATTCACTGAGAATGCACATTAAAACAGTCTGTCATTACGAGAAAATGCGCATTTTTGAGGAATTAAAGGGATAATCTTTTGTTTTATGGTTTTAATCTTACCTTAATAAAGGAATCGAATTCATTCTCCTTGGGGTATTTCTCACTGCCCATGAAGACCATGTGTTCGACGAAGTGAGCCAGCCCCTGTATGTCGGCGGGGTCGCTGTAGCTGCCCACGCCGACGCAGAGCGCGCATGCTGCCTGTACCAAATTGAAAAGAAACGGTTACACTAGATTCTGCTAGATGGATTAATATTTCTTGTCGGTTTGAAGGGATAAAATTACAAATGGAATTATATTTTGAAATAAATTTCGTACACCAATAAGCGTGTTGTGATTGTTTAAATATAGTAATTATTTTTTCGTCTGGAGCTATATGAGACTCGACATAAAAAAACATCTTAGGGAACAAAGAGTAAACTTCTCTAAGATCGGAAAAAGAGGATCTTCCGACCAGGGTGCTTACTCTTGAATCCAATTCCGATCGATCGACATTGGTATTGTGAAATTTCGTACTCTTGAGTTGCAACACTAGCGCCCATAGCGTCCGTATTGCGTGGATATTGAATGAACTAAATGGTATTGAGTTTGGCTTTATTTTCCGTACTCTAAATACTATTTTGATAGCTACGATAGGGGTTGTATAGTTTTGACATTGAATAATTATTGAGAGTTTATTGGATTGAAATTGCATTAGCATTGAGATTGGTTTCAAGAGTAAGCACCCAGGCGAGGTGTTCGTGCCTGGCGGGCTTTCTGCCCAACCGTAGTTCGTTGGGATTCACATGTGCGATGTAGGATTTCGTGACGTCATCCGTTGATTTGTTTTCATCTATGTGCGTGAGCTGTCATTTCGACATGTGACATACGTCGCCACACATCCCTTCGAGAAATTGCAATTAATGTTCCAGTCATTGTATCGTATTTTGTTCAATATCATTGTATCCTGTTAAGGATTTTACTGACAATAGAAAACTGTTGAAGGCAATTCCTCCCCTAACGTTGGTCACCAGTGACCTCCATGGCGTTTAACGTGTTAAAAATTAAACTTTTAAAATGAAAGTGTAAAACAATAATCATAAATAATTTAACAATTTAAAAGTATATTACTTAGTGTTACTTTGGGAACCGCCAAAATGAACTGCATCATATAATTTCATTTCATTAATATTGTTTATGTAATTATTCCATTTCTGAGAAAGAGAAAGTGAATGTGGAAGTTTCCATGAAGATGTTATATTTGTTTACAAAGTTGGATGTAGAAAATAAAGGCGCTAAGTACTCTTAACCGACGCGACGTATCAAATTGTTTAAACTGTCAAACACCAAGCGGTCACCGGTGACCGCGACCTATTGTTCTTTAATTATTAACATCACGCCTTTTATCCCCGAAGGGGAAGGCAAAGGTGCACATTATACCACTGTACAATGTAACACCCACTTTTCACTATTTATGTTATGAGTCCCATGTAATAGGGAGTGAGCCTATTGCCATATACCGGGCACATTTCCAGACTCCGTGCTACTACTGAAATTTTTAAAAACCCAGTAATACTTTGCCCGACCCGGGAATCGAACCCGAGACCTCTTGACCAGCAGTCGCACTTGCGCCCACTCGGCCAACGAGGCAGTGTTCTTTAATTGTGTCTATAAAACCGGTACTCGACGAGTTAAATGTTGAATCTAAGTAAATACTTTGTGGTTTTACATAGGTACTTGAAGACATGGTTTAAATGTACGAATTTAAATGTACGAATTTGAAAACACCTTGAATTTTTGTTATTTTACAAAAAATGTGCGTCGGGTGAAATTTTGCACTGATAAAGTATTAAGTAGATACGTGCAGTATTTTGCGTGTGAGCAACGGGAATGATCTAAAAAGTTAATCGCACTTAAAATAAACACCAAAGCTACCCTACATCTCAATATCAGTCAGAGAAAGTAACACTGAATATATTAAAACTAAATTACAAGAACAGGTCCACCACTTTTAAAATCACGATTATAGTCCACCACTTACCGCTTTTTATTCCGCATGCTTTTCTAGAATATTCCAGGCACTATCACCATCACTACGAAATAATTACGCAACCAAACTAATAAATGCAACTGTCCACAAATAATTTAAATCAACTTTTCCCGCCATCTACTTTTCTAGCGTCTGCGTATAAGTTTAAAACAACAAAATAATTTTCCGTAACCTACCTACCCTGCATAAACTTAAAACTACAACTAAAGGTAGTCTGTGGTCTGATAAAAAGGCGCCAAAACATAATGTTGCCCTAATTAAACAGTCTACCAAAAAGTACGGGAGCCATATTGTTTTTTTTTTAATGACTTTGTTACACCTACATACGGTCAAGTTAGCTATTGTATTATTATAATCGTACCGTATCATTTGTATCCTGCATAAAAAACATCTTGCAGTGTTTTCTAGATATTCTCTTGTATGCACTCTTCAACATTTTAAGAAAATGTCGTTTCGTTTGACCCACCTGTCGAAAGTATATTGGGTTAGTACTATGTTGATTTCGAAAGGTTTTAAAATTGTCTGGTGTTGGTAGAACCAAGTCCTAAGTAGCGCTATGTGGTTTCCATCAAACGACACGGGACTGTGAGGTTTTGCTATGTATGTAGGAGTGTTTACTATTATAGCTCGATGACTACCTACACTTTTATACGTTACCTAATATACTTTTGGCCTTAGTTTATCTAACTGTTGCCCGCGACTTCATCCGCGTACAATATAATTCCTGTTTTATCCCATGGGATCAATTAATCGGGATAAAAGTATCCTATCACCTAAGTCGGCCCATACCAAACGCAATTATACCTAATACAGACATGTATACCAAACTTCATCAAAATTCGTCCAGTAGTTTCAGTGTGATTGACGGACAAACACCCAAACAAGGAAACTTTCATATTTATTATATTAGTGTGATTAAAGAAAGACAGTGTTAATCTACAGAATGTCTTTTCGTAAGTATTGATTAGTTTCGCAACTACTTCTATAGAACCCGTATTGTCTAGATATCAATATAAAACGTGACATAAAAGATCGATGATGTATTGTTAGATACTAAATAACCGCAGTTTGTCACGTTTTCAGTGAACTAAGTTATAAGTAATAAAAACAAATTATTATAGGAAACTATTATTTATCAGGTAAAATTACGAAAAATATTACAGGCGAGACCAATTTAAAGGTTATGACGGTTTTGTGGGGATTTTAGGGCAGATTTCAAGATATTGCTACAGGGGCAAGAAACAATTGGATGTGTCGGTCCCATCTATCATTTCTGTTGTGTCGGTCGTGTCTGTCGTGTCGGTCGTAACGGACGTGTCTGTCGTGTCGGTCGTGTTTGTCGCGCCGGTAGTTTCGGTCGTATCGGACGTGTCTGTCGTATCGGACGTGTTTGTCGTGTCGGTCGTGTCTGTCGCATCTGTCGAGTCGATCGTGTGTCACGTCGGTCGTCTCTAAAGCGCCGGTAGTGTCGGTCATATCGGTCATATCGGACGTGTCTGTCCTGTCGGTCATGTCTGTCGCTTCGGTCGTATCTGTCGTGTCGGTCGTGTTCGTCACGTCGGTCGTGTCTGTCACGTCTGTCGCTTCGGTCGTGTCTGTCGTGTCGGTCGTGTCGGTTGTGTTTGTCACGTCGGTCGTGTCTGTCACGTCTGTCGTGTCGGTCGTGTCTGTCGTATCGGTCGTGTCTGTTGTGTTGATCGTGTCTGTCGTGTCAGACGTGTCATTCGTGTCGTTCGTTTGTTCATTCATTCGTGCGTTAACTGTCTTGGATCTCGCAACGAAATAAATCAGAAGATATTAGAGATACTTTGCACTTCCCTCGGTGAATTGATGCATGAGACAGATTAACCTAAGCATAAAGGCACAAAAGAGACTGAACGACTGGCCCAGTCGCCAAGCACCATGAAAATTTTTACTTAAAACTAAATGGGTCCTTTGTGTAATACTTGCTTCCAACAATATGTACGGCAAAAACGCCAAAAAATTGTTATAGATTCCACAAGGTCCGTATAATAAACTACACCTGTTCAAACAATTAAATTATGTAACATAGTGTGATGTTCACATTGTCAGTGATCAAACTCCCAAAGTATGTGATAGGCGGACTGCTCGTTTTGTAACTCCGCTGTCGAACTTTGACACCACGGCGAATCAACAAGTTTAGAGAAGAACAATTTGCTTTACGGCAGCAAGTATTCCAATACCGGCTGAGGCAGTTAGGGGGCTGCTTTGTAAGGAGAGACGACGAACGGCATTTCTTAGCGGTAAACACTGGCGGGGTTAAACTGGACTAAATTAAGCCCACTCCAATTTGAGATTCTGCCAAAGGGTCTCGATTTCAGATACAAGTCTGTTTCGGCTCTCTATGACGTTTTCCCAAGAAATGTTAGCGCGGTGTAATAGACATCGCCTGTGCTGTCATCCGCATAACAATGAATGCCGCTGATTTCCAGCAAGTCATTAAAATGCAGCCTTAAGGGACACTTGCGCGTCGCGGAGAACCTAACGGGTTACCGGGCTCCGGCTCGAAGCGCAGGAGAAAGAACGGGGTGGTTTTTAGTCAGTAAGAGTCTGACACTCCCTCCTGCCTCACCCAGGCAGGAGCAGTCATTCGAAGACTTGTCCCCCTTTAAAAAAACTGCGTTTAAAAAAACCGACTTCAAAAACAAATGACAAACAAAAAGTAAAAACTAAAAAGGAAAAAAAAAACTATTAGTGGTCATACGTACTTATAGCTTACACACCCACTGATAGGTTAGAAGTCGGTGCCACAGTTTTAAACCTAATTATATATTCATTAAAACCTAATAGAATACCTAACATTATTGAGCTGTTTACAATTTATTATGGATTATACCAGCTGTGACTTTTGTCTACTTTATATTTTATTGTGGGTTTGTGCACCGACTTCTAACCTATCAGTGGGTGTGTAAGCTATAAGTACGTATGACCAAAAAGTTTTTTTTTTCCTTTTTAGTTTTTACTTTTTGTTTGTCATTTGTTTTTGAAGTCGGTTTTTTTAAACGCAGTTTTTTAATTTTATTTTATACTTTTTAGTTTAGTACTTGATATATTATATTATACAAAACCCACATGGATGCAAAGTTTTCATCAATACACATTATGCAAGTTCAAACACCGGGTGGGTACTCTTAACCTTGAAGAGTCCCAG